GGTGTTTCTGATTTAGTTGACTTTTTGATTTAGAAGAAGATAGAATTTTTAGATAAAGATAAAAAGATAAGAATAAAATAATAAAATAAATAAATATAATTCATTTAAAATAGAAGATAATGATAAAATAATAAAATAATAAATTAGAATTATAAAATAATGATAAAGATAAAAAGAGGGAGTTTTTTTAATTGTTTAAAGAAATATAATGAGATAAAAATTAAATAAACAAATAAAATAAATTGAGATAAAGAAGACTTATGGTAAGAACATCCTCAGACTTAAGCTTTGCCTCAAATTCCTCAGATCATCGAAATAGATCTTTCCTTCAAGATTCGTGTCGGCTACTTGTCTACAAGGAAAACTCTTTGTGACTATGCTTTGTACACCGAATATCTAAGTGCACTATTAAATTTTGGTTTGTGAGTTGATCTAAGTAACAACAATGTTGTAGATCTTAAAACGTTGAAGTTATAAAAGCTGATGACTCGGATTATGTTGTTTCAACAATAACTGATTCTGATCTCAGTTTTCTCTTAGCAAACAATTTTACTAAGTGTGTTCACAAAAAGTCGAATGTGCTTCAATAAGCAAATCCTTCTTCCCATGTTAACCATAACAACATCCAGATCAATGCCGACTTTTGGTTTTGAAAATCGTTTTGATTTAAAAATAAGCCCAGAAAACAGAGAGAAAAATCTGAAGCGATTTAAGTTCCTTACAATTCTCACGTTTGGAATTGAGCCTTCGCTTTAGCCTTTGGCTTAAAAGAAAATTAGCTAAGCATGACCAGAGTTATACTTAGCATATTTGAAAGTAAAACTTGAAAATAAAATAAGTAAATTTTGAAAACTTGAAAGAAAATAGAAGAGAAAATTTTATAAAGCTAGAGAGAATAAGAAGATTAAATTCTCAGATGTAAGAGATGTGTTTCTAGGCTTACCCTGATTGGGTATGTATAGCCTTCAAAATTCCTAAAATAAAGAAATAAATCCTGCAGATGAGCACATTGTAGTAAGATGTACTTTTCTTTAGAGGTCGTTTGTGTGTACCTGCAGATGAGCAGTTGTGTAGTAAGATCCTCCATGAAGCACATTGTAGTCATCTCTCAGTTGATCTAGGTAGTAACAAGATGTATCGAGAGCTCAAACCGTTACATTGGTGGTCGGGCATAAAAAGAAAAGTGTTTAAGTTTATTACTAGGTGCTTAGTGTGCCAGTAAGTTAAGGCGGAATACCAAGTTCCTTTGAGGTTACTCCAACTGATACAAATACCACATTAGAAGTGGGATAGAGTGACTATGGACTTCATGACCGAGTTACCGATGACTAGACAAAGGCATGTCGCAGTGTGGTTCATATTGGACCGATTGATCGAATCAGCTCATTTCCTCCCAGTTCGTATGAATTACTCCTTAAAAGGGTTAGCACGTCTATACATTCATGAAATAGTGAAGTTGCATGGGGTTTGAACTTTTATCATCTCAAATAGAGACCCTTTATTCACTTCCTGAATTTAAGAAACTATCCATGAGTCCCTAGGCACCAAATTTCACTTTAGCATCACTTTTCATCCTTAGAAAGACGACTAGTTTGAGCGTGTTATTCAGATCCTAGAAGACATGTTTAGGTGCACCATCATAGACCTTAAGGTAGTTGGGAGGACCAGTTGTCGTTAGTGGAGTTTGCGTATAACAATAGTTACTAGTCTAGTATCCAAATGGCACTGTACAAGGCTTTGTATGGACGCAAGTGTAGGAGTCCACCGTGTTGGACAAAGTTTAATGAAGGAAAGATAGTATGCCTGAACTTTATCAGAAAAATTAAAGTGAAGGTTTGAATGATTTAGGGTCGGTAAAAGAAGCTTCTGAAAAACGTATATGGACTTAAAACACAAGGATATCGAGCTTGTCGTGATAGGCAAAGTGTTTCTCAAAGTGCCTCCGTGGAAGAAGGTGCTTAGTTTTGGACACAAATAAAAGTTAATAATGTGCTTCATAGGACTATATGAGATACTTGAGAGGGTTAGACCCGTGCCATATCAGTTAGTCTTGCCCCTAGAGTTGGAGTGTATCCATAACGTGTTCCATGTGTTAATGCTTAGGAGGTATCGTTCTGACCCTTCCCATGTCATACCTTTAGAGCAAGTGGAGGTGAGCCAAGACATGACCTATGAAGAAGAACCGATAAGAATATTGGAAAGAGATGTGAAAGAACTAAGGAGCAAAAATATTCCCTTAGTAAAGGTTCTATGGAGGAATCAAGGTATTGAGGAAGAAATATGGGAAACCGAGGAGGATATACAACTTCAGTATCTATATCTTTTCTACCCATTGATATTTCGAGGATAAAGTTTCTTATTAGGAGAAAAGAGTTGTAACTCCACAAATCTCGGGTTAGTAGTTTTGGGCTAAGCCGAGAAGATTTAAATAAGCCCACTAGACTTATAGGAAAGGTTAGACCAATTAAGGATGACCTAGGCTTGGGTTAGGCCGAAATAGTAGCAAAAGAGGGAAGTTTTAATATTTGAGTGGAAGAGGAATGACTAAAGGGACTATTATACCATTTTATAAACCAAATGTTGATTTTTCTTTAATAGGGATGAAGTAAGTGGTTGAACCACCCCTTTTCCCTCATTTTTATCTTTCCTTGTCCCCTACCTCTCTTCTCTTCATTTTCATAGTTTTACTTCTTTACGCATCATAATCCTCTCACCTCAAGCTCTTATTCAAGCTCTCAATTTTAAAATTTGGCCATAATACCTCAGTTAGTGTGCAAGGCACTTCAATGTTGGTGCCCCAAGTACTCATAAGGAGTAGGTTGGCCAGATGAATGTTTCTGATGTAGAAATTTTGGATCTCACCGAGTTAGGCTACAAGGGTGTGTGTCACGAGAAGTAGTGAAACCCTCCGTCCACACCATAAGGCCTACCTCTGTATGTGTGTTTAGCTTAGCATCCATGTGTGTTAATATTCATATATGCTAGCATGATCATGTAGAGAACGTATGTAGTATAGTTTGGTTATTGGTGTGGCACTAACCTTGCAAGCTCTGCGTTCGAAATTGTTTTTCGTGCATAGGTTCTTAAAAGGAACATTCGAGGAGATTATCTCGTACCTCGCATTCCAAACCAATCCAATTTTCAAAGTATGTCTTGAGTCTTTCGTAGAGGGTATGTATTGTATATAACCTTCTTGTATTTGAGTCATAATTGTATTTTAAAATACTAGTTTGAAATAGTTTAGACGTATTTTGGGGTTCTCGTATTTGTAAACCCAAATACTATGCTTTTACTTTATGATTATGATGAATGATTTTTAACTGATGTTTCAATTGTTTTAAAAATGTAAATTTTTTGGTCATATCATATTTGGATGTGGCAATAAATCTTGAAATTAAGGTATTTAAAATTTGAATTCATGAACTAATTTTACTAAATTAATAAATTAATTTACAGAGTTAAACTAATGACTAATTTGAAAAGGGACACAAAGATTGAACCTTCTAATCCACTCGTACCATTTTGTATTCTTTTTTTTAAAATCTAATTTTAATTACTAATAAAATTTAATATATACACATAATTTCCTCAATTAATAATTAAGGTTGTTCATAGACGGTTAGTTGTACCGTTTAGTCTAAATGAATGGTTAACAGTTGTAACATTTACGATATTTTTCTAATCGTAACATAACCATTAAGAAAATGTTAATCGCTATCAACGGTTCGGTTATAAGGTAACCTACAATTAACCTATTACAATTATTTTTAAAAAATAACACAATATGAATGCTTTAAAGTTTCACAATTCATACTACAAAAAAGTGTTGTACTTAACACATATTTACACCAGCGTAAGTGAATAAAATAAATAAGTATCGCACTTACATATAATTACACTAGTGTATGTACATATCTTAGTACATAACAATAGACACATAATTATATTGGTGCAAGTATGTTTCTTTATTTTTAAATAAATAAAAAATAAAAATAATACAAAATATATATTAAATTTTTTGTGTATAAATTTTATTAAACATATACATATTAAACATAATAAAAAATTTATATTAAGTTTTTTGTGCAAAAATATAATAAATTAAAAACATAATTATAAGTTTATTTTATTAACAATTAACCGTTAATTAATGTTTATCAAAATCTTCAATACTCTCAACCATCATTTTTAACAATTCGGTTAACTAAAACCATTAAACATTAATAGTTTAGTTATTTACTCTATTAAATATAACTATTATACCGATCACAATTAATGGTTACGATTTTTTTAAACACCCCTATTAATATATGTTACCTTATTTTTTTTTAATAACTAAGATCTTAATCAACTTTACTTCTCCCTGACATTATTTTTCTCCTAATCTTCTAATGCATTTTTTCTTAAATTTTTTAAAAAACTTCTTCATTTTCGTTTTTTAATTAATTAACCAAATTAATAAAAATATTATATATATTATATATATTTTAAACTCAAACTCAATGAAAATTAAGATGCAATCATTTTTTAGTTACACTAGTCCCAGTAAACATTCAAGACAATCAAATTTGAACTCAAGTGGAAAAATACATCTATTAAACGGAAATTAATCTAATTAAAAAATAATAATTTTTGATTCATTCAAAAGCTGACCGAATTAATCAAATTTTATTTTGTTCGATTAATAACTTTTGCAATTAGTTTGATCCGATTAATGTTTAAAGAAAATGATATTGATTGAATCGGTAAATGAATTAACCTTTTAAACACCCTATTTCCAAGGATGATTTGAGGATGAAATAATAGTTAAAAGAGCACCAGAAACTAACCGATTGAACAAGATTAAAACGGTTTTCAAAGCACCCTATTGTCCAACGATGTTCATGATTCCAGCACACCAAATCAAATGGGGTCTTCTCCAGTCCCCCTAATGTACAACTGAAGTCCAGAACAACAAATTATACATATATATATATATATATATATATAAAAGAATACGAAAAAAAAGAAAGGAAGGTCCATACCAATAAAACACAGTTCATCAAGCCTAAAATTGTCAAATAGTCTACACCAGTCACTTTGTGGTATCAGCAAGAGGATTTGATTTATCTCTTGGTCTGCTTGTTTTCTTCTTCACTATTCGGAACATGAATTGCTTTCGGATGCTAGCTCATTGTTTTTCAGTGTTCGTCGCACAAACTGCCCTTTGATGCGAGGTCGTTGTTCTGCTAGTCGTTTCCTGCTTTGGTACCGAACCTGTAAAAAGCCAAAAGTATTAATAAAAAAATTGACTCTCTAGAATTAATCAGCTCCAAGCGTTGAAAAAAAAGAAAAAAACAAACTCTCATCCTACTATTGATCTTTAATAAACTGATGAGATGAGCTTATACTTTGTAAAGTACAAGGGGAGCAACCAGATTTTCCTTGATCACAATAGAAATGGGAAACATAATCTTGTGTTTACATTATTCCCATGCATGTAGTATGTGCATTTCAGAAATATATGGTAAAACATAAGCTAGTGGCTTTAAGATTTTTAAGCTAGATTCTGATTAAACACCTCAATGTCAATTACCTTTTTCTGGAAGCATCTCTCTTTCCTTTTCTGACGAAATTTGGTCAATGCAGCTTCCCTATGAGCAGACTTGCTCTGGTCTGCTTTGCTGCCACTCCCGAAGCCACTAGCATCTCCACTTCCGCTTTTCCCAGCTATTCCGTTGTCACCCTCCATATTTTTTCCGGCAGTATTCACTGCATTGCTACTTCCATTTGTCCCATTGCTTCCAGGGTTACTACCTGAGGCATTTCCATTGACACTGTAGTTGCCAGCATTTCCTTCGACAAGGCCTCCCAACATATTCGATGACCCACAATGAGGAGCATCATCAGCTAATTTTTTCAAAGATAAATCATCATGTTCTGGCTGCAGCTGCTGCATATCGTGGGTCAGATGGCTGTGTTGATCATAATGGTTTGTCGAATGTTGCATTTTCAGTTCTTGGTGAGTCCCTCTAGGTTGGACTGGTCCTGCTGTTGTAGTTACATCATTTCCCTCGTCTAATACAACTGCCTTATTCTTCTCAACTACATTCTTGGCAGAAGCATTGTTAGTTGTGGAGCCTGTATCAATGTTATTGCTACCGACATTTGAGCTTTGATTGGGAAGGTCATTAACTAAATGAGAGAGATTACCAAATACTGATCCTTTTCTAGCCGGTTCTAAATTATTGTCAACTGTAGACAAGCTTCCAGTGTTGACAGCGGGAACCTTATTTGCATTTGCTGCAGTATTATACCTGCAGATAATAGAAATAAATGTCAAAACTAATCAGAATTTGACAAATCTTTGTAGAATACTTTTCTGGAATTCAGTTAAGTTGAATGCTCCTATGCAGTAGTCTCTACTTTATACCTTGAGAAGGCAGAAGCGTTTGATCGTCTCAAAACATTTCGCTCATCCCTAGCTACAGTCCCAGCATCTTTAACTCCTCTAAGTCTCTTCAATCCGAGTTCAATAGATGGTAGTTCTGCAGAATCATTAATGGTTTTATCATTGCCATCTGAGATTTTGCAAAGCCTGTTTGAAGCCTCGTACTCAGCAATTTCCATCTTAGGATCAGTGGTCATAGATGTAATGCCAGTTTGATTAGCAGCTTCGGACTTTTCTTTGCAGGAAGGGGCTTCACTATTGAGGTCCAGCTTCCTTTTATCAATCTGATCATTGTATTTGCTGGAGCTCATCTCAAGAAGGTTAATCTGTTTGGTTCCAACTGTTCTGATTGGGGCCTCAACTGGACACTTTGGTAGTAAATTTAAATCTCTGGGCTTGTTTACACCCAGGTCTTTCCCCATTGCAACCTTGTCTGCAATGGAAAGGATAAAAAAAGGCTAAAAGAAGAGAAGAGCAGTTTAACCATTAAAGGAAAGAAAAGTAAAAAGGGACTACAAGATTAAAGATGTTAACCACCAGCATTATTGCTTCAAGCAAGGGGTCTAAATAAGACACTGTGCTTGTAAGCTATTTGGGTTCAACTCCACAAAAAAACTTAAATTCAGTTTGGTCATTGTCAAGTAGAACTCAAGCTCAAGCAGCTAAAGCCATCGGAGGAGCCAAGTTTTAGTGACTTAAAGCTCAACTGGAGTAGTTGGCTTGCCTAATAAAACTTTCTTCTTATTTTTAATATATATTTTTTGTTTTTATTTACTATCAGAAAAATCTCAATTCGAACTCGTGCTCGAGTTTGAAGTCAAGTATGGGACATGAACTCTCTTTACTAGATAAATGAGCCTAATCAAGCAAGCTCAAGTAGTTCAATTTTTATCTAAATTGAGGTCAAGCTTCTTACTTATTGAGCTCAATTCACTCAACTCAAACATATTTCAAGCTACACATTTGAAATTCATGTTTACCAAGCTGTTCATCTCGTTCTTGGCACCCCCTTGCTGCAGCCACTGGCATCCCTTTGTTCCCAGGTACTTCTGCATTTGAATGGACAACTTGGGCACATGTACTATCAGGGCACTCAGCAATTTCATCCGAGGGTGAGACTAGACGGGAGCTGTCAACCTCTACTGCTTGTTTTGTCCAAGAATTCTGCAAAAAGAAAATGCACTTGCAGTTTTTCACTACATATACTTACAGGTTTCTAACAACTTTCTGAACTTTTCATCCAAGTTTTGAGAGCAATTACGTTCAACCATCGAGGATGAGGAATTAGAGGATAAAGCTCAAATTCCAAAAAGTGATTAGGAGGAAGTAGAATTTGTACATTTAGCCCTAAATTTGGAATGAATGAAATAATTTGTGCAGACTACCGTAAAGTTTTTGGAAAAAGGATGAAGTTCTTACATGTATATTGAAGTTGTGTTTTGTCACTAAATCTTATTAATGGAAATCAAAGATTAAAATAGAACCAGCTAGTTTTTTTTTTCTTTTCATATAAACAAACTTCATATGATATCAAAGTAGCGCTTTGTTAAATCTTGTTAGTGAAATCTAGGACTACAATAATTTTTTTGGATAAAGGACGAAGTTTTAAAATGGAGCTGTACGAAATTGTTGCTAAACAATAAATAATGCTGTTGGAGTCTTGGATATCATAACCTACTAGTTTTTCTTTCATATAAACAACCTTCTAAGCAGAGGTCATTTCCTAAGCAGTGGTATGAGAGAAATATTTTGAACAGAAATTAAAGAGCTCTTGTTTCTAGAGAATATGTACATCATTTCCTAAGCAGAGGTCAGCACAAGCAGAGCTTAATGTAATCCATTACTTATAGTACTCATCTCATGCTTTTGTGGTTTCGTTGAAACAATGTGTCTTAAATTTTTAATAGAAGTTCATTACAGTTAAACATATATATTTAAGAATTATAAATTGATGTAAACATTGATGTAAACATAATAATTAACTACACTCTCCGCACTATGACATAAATCAATGAAAGAAACGCAGTTCAGATCTCAGGTTGCTGACCATAGTTCAAGGCAATCTGAGGCCCAAATTTCACTGCTAGATATTAACCTCATAAAAAGAATACGCTGCAACTGAAGGACAGATTTATAATACCTGAGTGCCACTCCCGTCATCACTGCCATCTCCAACATTTTCACCACCACTCCCATTATCGTCCACATCATTGCTACCGCTGTCGTTGTCAGACTTGTCGACACTTTTTGATCTGACTGATTTTTGAGTTTGTGAGCCACTCTCGCTTCCACTACCACTAGACTGAGGGAGCAGAAAATTTTTCACTTGGCAAAGAGTACTATGAAAACAGAACATGTAATCAATTTCTCTCTCTCTGCTTTCTTTCCTTTTTATTTCTTTTTTAACAAACTAGTACAAGTAAAAGTTCTCCTAATCAATACTGGTCTTAGATGTTACTTTCTTCATACAATTGAAAAATAAACTAATGGAATATGCTTTTAGTTTCAAATATTACTTTTCTAATTTCTTGAAAACAAAACAGGAAACAAGAAGAAATTCTTGCCGGTACATGGTTTGTAGTCTCTACTAGGGAATCTAAATCTGATGTAGGAAGTTAATGACTCACACTATGGCATCTCCTCCAAACATGCTGCCACAGGTTCTTTAGCTCATTTTTTCGAACAGGCTTCACCAAAAAGTCAACGGCACCTTTTGATAAACACTTAAAGACTAGATTCATTGAATCCTGAGATGACATCACTGCATGAAGATATCATCAAAAATAGTAATTAAAAGTATCTACTCAAAAGAATTCAAAGTGAAATCAAGAGTGAAAATGTTAGAACAAACAACAAAATGCAGGAAAGAGTGGAGGCTTACTGATCACACGAACATTTTTACGTGTTTTGTGGCTCATGATCTTGCTCAAAAGAACAAGGCCAGATAAGGAAGGTATTCCCACCTCAGCCAATATAAGATCGATATGGTTGGTCAAATCTTCTAGTATCTTCCATGCTTGTAATACATTTGCAGTTTCAATAACTGGGAAAACAAAGTGAATATTTAGGTTAGAATAGGCTACATCAGCCCATATACTTCACCCGATAACTGATAAAGTGTTCTGGAACGGAAGAGCATGTCAAAGGCATTAATAAAGATATCTCTTATAGAAAGAAAAAAGAGGAGATGAATCATGCATAAATAAACTGGTAAGTGATAAATGGATATCATAAAATTTCATTATTAGAATCTAACCAAATACAGAGTCTATCGATACTTGAATAGACAAGATGCAAAGTACAATATGAAAGCTTCTCGCTTAAACTTCTATAAGCAAGCTGTACTAGGGTTAGCTTAATTTGGCTCTCAACAAGCAATATATGTGTGTCTGTGTGTGAAGCTAACTATTAAATCAGTCTAGTTGAGATCAGTTCTCCTTCCCCGTGGCATGAAATATTACTAAGTTGCATGTATTATAACTTTAATAAACCATGAAAACAAAATCCAAGATATTCTGACGCAGCATCCTTGAAAGACTTGAGACACTCACCATCATAACAGCAATTGCGCAGAAGTGCAGTGACAACATGGCGAGTAGAATCATCATTTTCTACAAGCAGAACTGTAACCGTTGTTAGATTCAGAAACCTCTGCCAGTAACACTTTGCATTTTGAGGCTGTTGCTGTGCCATTTGCCACATGGCAGAAGCCTGAACAGCTCCAACATGACCATCTTTCACATTTTGTGCGATCTTGTTAACTTTCAGATCATCTGCTCCCAGCATCACATCTTCCTCAGGGATGACACTGTTTGTAGTTCTCTTGTTACCATCATAGAGCCGGTGATTTAGTTCCCGTAAACCTTTTTCACCATCACTATCAACATTCATCTAGACACTTACCTGTAAATCAGATTACAAAAGACTGGCAACAATAAGGGCAGTCCAAGGATGTAACAATAAAATCTTCCTTCAGTTCAAAAAATAACAACTACATAGCTTTGTCTTTGAAACTGCAAACTTCTGCAAATACAGACAGTTCAACCTAAAACAAAAGTAAATCAAAATGGAGATCCATAACTAAAAAGTTGAAAATAGAAACCACCACAACAAAAATGTTTACTCCTTTTAATCTTCAGAAACCAACTCCATACTCCCTAAGTTGCTTGAACCATGTAGAAAACAACAGAGTATCACATCAAAATAATCAACCAGAATCCAACCATTAAGTTCAACCAAGAAAAACTCTCAATATTTTCCTCTTTTTAAGGAACAAACCCATGATACTACAAAACAAGCTCAATCTTACGCATAAACATGTAAGCACAAGTTAATTTTAAATTATTAAAATAAATAAGCAAAAGTTTTAAAGACTTGTACGCCAAATCCCTAATATCAAGCACCTAAAATCTGCTCCTAAAATCAAAGCAAATCTTTTCTACTAATAACCAAAACCTAATCGAAAGATATAAACATTGAATTACAGAAAATTATTAAAATAAATAAGCAAAAGTTTTAAAGACTTGTACGCCAAATCCCTAATATCAAGCACCTAAAATCTGCTCCTAAAATCAAAGCAAATCTTTTCTACTAATAACCAAAACCTAATCGAAAGATATAAACATTGAATTACAGAATTGATTTTTTTAATATTCTACAGCTAAAAGTTTCTTCGCAGCTCAAAAAAATGAAATCTATAACGAAAAGTAAGGGAATTCAATACAGGAAACTATTCAAATCCGACAAAGTTAAAGAACTTACAAGTATTATAAATGAAGATAATCCTCAGCAAAGTTTCAAATTACCACAATTATTCAGCTGGATCGAGATCACGTTTGAATTTAAAAAACGCATTGCGCAAAAATTAAGCAACAGAATTAATTTCAAAGCGTATTTTTACATTAAAATTAAAATCTTCGGTTTAATACCAAAAAATTCTGCAAATTTATATCAGATTAAATTATTTTTAAGAAAATAAATTGAGTGCATGAGAAATAGAGCGACTCGGAAGGAAGGGATACAAGCGACCTTTTGTTTGGACGATGCGATATCGAAGAAGATATTAATGAGATGAGCCCCGCTATGCTGACGTGGATAAAATAGAGGTATGGAACTTTCAAGAAATCCCACGTGGGATAGCTATATTTCCGCGTGGCTAAAAATTTGGAGGCCGATGGGCTTGCTGAGCTGGACAAAATCAAAAGCCTAGAGCTCGATTGTGTCTATAGCATCTCTATAGATCTTGGAAATCTCGTTTGGACACGTGGCGCGTGAAGGGTGGGGAATATCGAGGGTCACGTCGTTTTCACGGACGTCAAAAACTATTGGGTTTTATGCCGTTGTTGTTTAAAGTGTGGTCGTGACGACGTTATGTTTGTTGCGTTAAATGACGGAAGTAACATTGTTATTACAAAATGACAAAATTATCCCGCAAATTTTGGCTTGGACTGGACTTCAAATATGGGGAAAATATATAGGTGACTGTGTTACACGGAATTAAGAATGAATGTCATCCATTGCCTTCGTAAGTCACAATCCTGTTGATGATACATCTCAAACAAAATCAATTAAGGCTTATACAAAAATAAGTGTTTAAAATATGTATCTAAATATGATTTGATATCTCGAAATATTAAATATTAAATATTAAATATTAAATATTAAATATTAAATATATATTATTTGTGCATTTCAATTAATTCGGTTTATTCCGTTAACCGATCAATTAATCGAACTTAGTTTGGTTCGGTTAAATTTTTTTAAAAAAAAAATCAGTTTGGTTAATGGTTAATAGAGAAAAAAATTCGGTTACTAGAATTTGGGTAATTCAGTTCGGTCAGTTAATCAAATTAGCTGTTTGAACACCCCGCTCACCTCTGACGGCAAACGATCACCATTGATCAAATTTTACTCAGAGCACGACGAAGAACACAATGTTGGCGGCCGTGTAACATATGACAGTTGTATACGTCAAAATCTCCAAAAACTTAAACAGAAAACGTAAAATTCCAACGGCCCTTCGCGATATTTTTTTACGACGATCGGCGTAGTTTCACGGTGGATAGGGGACTAAATATTGATTGTGGTGGTGAGACGATTCTGATGATGTTGACAGTGTCAGCGATCGATCGAAAATGGAAATATAAGATTTGGAATTTTTTTAATTAAAATATTAATTTGTTAAATAAAATAATTTTTAAAATTTTATATGCTTGATACATGTCAGATATGGGTGTTTAAAAATACTCGATCCGGTTAACCCGTCGATCCGAACCTAAAAAAAGGGTAATTCTCTAAAAAAAATTATCCAATCGGGTTGGATACCCGACCTAAGAATTTTTTTTTGGATAGTTGGGTTAGGTCTAGGTCGAAACTTTTTTATAATCGGGTATCCGATCTGACCCGATAATTTTAATATATATATATATTAGTTAAAATTATATTTTTATTTTAGGTTATTAATATTTTTACCTTCAAACAAAATGTAAGGAGTTGTTTGTTTGACTCTGAATAGAACCATTCAGCGCTGAATGCTGAACCGTTCAACATTCTGCGCGTTTGTTTCGTACCTCTGAATAATTCAGTGCTGACTGATTCAATAAAACAGTGTTGAATGATTCAGCATCAAAGTACATTCTGAATGATTCAGAACCATTATCAAGTAGCATGTCACATTCAGAGCTAATTCATATAGAGCCTCTGAATCATTCAATGCTTAATCATTCTGAAGTAAACAAGCAACCCCTAAATTCCTAAATTACTTCTAGGTTTGTATGGTGTAATTTTTAACTTAAAAGTTTTAAGTTTTAATTTTCTTAAACTTTTCTATTAATTTGTTAATACGAGATTCGAAGAAAAAATCATGATCAATTTTAATATTAAAATCATTTGGGAATAAACTTTAATGTATATATATAAATCATTAAAATTAACTTTGAATCATTAATTTTTTTGTATGGATTATATATTATGAAATTTTAAATTTTATTTATTTCTTATGTGATTATTTTATAAATAAATAAATAAAAATGCATATGAATCGGATACTCATGACCCGAAAAAATGGGTACCCAAATTTTAAGGGTACTCGACTATCAAGTACCTAGACTTAATGGGCCATGTCACAGGCCGACAAATATACTACCCGGAGAACTGAGTACCCGGTAATTCGGGTACCCTAATTTGAACACCCCTAGTGTCAGATAACGGTCAAATTTAATGGTTGTTATGATCTAGACACCTAAAAGTGTAACGTTAGAAACATTAAGTATCAATTTTTAACAAAAAAAAAATTTGGACACTAAATCTTATTCGAAATATAGTTTAGGAACTTATTTTTCTATCACAATAAAAAATATTTTATATAATAATATAATAAAATCTTACTCGAAAATGATTATTATTAAAGTAATAAAGATTTGTGTTCAAATTTATTAATTTTGTGTTCAACTTAAATAGAAAAAAATTATTATAATAATATTTGTAATTATTTAGAAAAAAACAATTACTATTAAATTGATGTGTTAACACATGAAGTCAACTCAATCACTCACTTAACATCTAGCACATTGATATTAAATCTATTCAAAGCATTTGTCATTTAAATTTTAGGAATATTATGGGCGTGAATTAAAAAAATAAAAATATTTAAAATTTATTTCATTTGTTATAGTGCACATGAAATTAGTTATGAGAGATTAATGAGTTATATAAAAATATATTAAAAAAAAGAACTTGTTATATGAATTGAAACAAAATTGTATGAAACTCATCATTACCTCCTGATTAGGGCTGTAAATGAGACGAAACAAATCGCGAGCTACTTGAGATTGACTTGGTCAAGACTCGATAAATACTCGGATCGAATGGAGTCGACTCGAAAAGCTCGTGAGCAGCTCAAAAATATAATATATTAAAATTTTATTTTTAAATAAATTATTAATAATATTAACATTTATATGTTGATAATTTTAAAAAAATACAAAAAGGTTTTTATATATTTAAGGTTCAGGTTCGAGTTTGAGTTTGAGGCTTCAATCTAGTTAAGCTTAAGAATTTTTTTTTCATTTCGAGCCTTTTCGAGCTGCTCACGAGCTTCGGTTCAAGATTTCGAGTTCGAGTCGAGCTTAAAAATTTTAAACTTGCGAGTTTTCGAGTCGAGTCGAGCTCCATTTGAGAGTTTTCGAGTCTAGTCGAGCTCGACTCGACTCGTTTACACCCCTACTCCTGATGAGTTTCAATTATTTATTACCTTTTTATGAAGCTCATCTTCTTCTCGTGACAAGTTCTACATATACTCCAAAAATATGCCTAAATACCAAATTATTTCTTATATACATTTATTTTTTTAATAATTTTTTTCTTGCATTTGTCTAGTATTATTTATTTGACTTAATATCAAAATAAGCGTCTAAATTATACCATTATTCTCAAATAGATGTCTAAATTATTTTTTGACTCATCTAAATCTTAATGTTACAAACGTTATCCATTTAGGTACCTCAACTGTAATCGTCATTAAATTAAAATCGTTATCCATTAGTTTTCATACATATTACACTTATTATAATTTCTTTTTTAGTTTTCTATTAAATTCAAATATATAAAAAATAAAATAATTAAAATATTAAGGGTGGGTGTGGGACAAAGTCGTCTGGGGGTTGGGTGGCGGAGATAAAAGACACTATACAAAAGAAAGGGGTTTGGTTAGGCACGTTCGATATGACGGAAGAAGCGGTGAGGGCGTACGACGAAGCTGCTTGCTTGCTTCGCGGTGCGAGTACGAGAACGAATTTTTGGCCTTGTTCTTCATCATCGTCGGCGTTGAATCCGACCCCGACCTTTTCTTCGAAGATCAGTAATCGTCTTCTCCAAAGGATCAAGGCTAACAAATATAATTTGCGTTCTCCATCGCCACCGCCGCCAACTTCTTCTTCCTCGCCGCCGCCTGTTAGTATTAACAGCAATGCGAACCATGAAATCTTCAATGCAATGAGCGTTGTTGATAACGAAGAGGAGGTGGGGCATTGGATTTCCAGTTCTTGGATGAGATTGGAATTGAGTCATCTTGTTCTCCTTTCCAGTTCGTTGAATAGCTTCAAGTACTACCAACAATGGCGGCTGAGAATTTTGTAGATGAACACTCGATGATGTCGTACGAGAGGAAATTTTCAGCTTCACTCTACGCATTCAATGGGATTCCGGAGCTTTTGGGAAGCTTCCATGACGGAACGGATATCAGATCAGTTTGGTCTTTTGTCCATGGAAGGATAGAGGAAGGGGAGGGGAGCACGAGAGGGAAAGGGGGCACGCGGGGGTAAGGTTTGTTTTTAAAAATATTTTTACTTTTTAAGAAAAATAAATTTTTTAAAATTTTAATGACATGTCACTTAAGGGTTTTATAATGATCATTATAATTGAAAGACCTATATGA